TTGGGAGCGAGTTTGGGGTCGATTGGACGAAGATCGGACGCGTGGCGAGGTGCTGAGGAAGCCACACGGGCATCCCTGGAAATCACACGGCCGTGCAAGTCATGCTTGTGGCCGTGTGATTTGTGCCGAGAGCAAACACGGGCAGAGCAGAATTTCCACACGGCCGTGTGACCCTGGCCGTGTGGGAAGCCTGAAATTCAACTAATCGATACGCAACATTTTGAGCCACACGGGCAACTGGGTGAGCCACACGGCCGTGTGGCCTGCCCGTGTGATCGGGATTTTCAGGTTTTTACCCAATTTCGGGCCACAAGTGAAAAAATCGGATTTTTAGAGCAAAAACAGAGCCCTAGAGAGAGAAAGTGCAAAGAACACATCCTAGAAGCTATCTTGGAGCTGGGTTTCATCAAATCGAGCTTGGAGATCGTCATAGGAGTGGAAATCATCATCCCAGAGCAGATTCTTCCCATTGTTATGAGTATGACTGCTTTGTATCCTGTTTTCCTCTCTCTCTCTCTATGGAGTAGAACCCTTCTCTCACTTGGGTATGAAGAACCCTAGTTCCATGTGTTAGGGATTTGATTGTAATGACTTGGGATGATTATACTGTTTGGTTTTAATCGAATGATGCATGTTTTATTGAATTGATTGAAGTCTGATCAGCTTTTCTTGATTTCTGCTACAACCTGAGATAGATAGAATCTGATTAGGTTGTTAGAGCTTCTTCATTCGATAGTAGGAGATTGGTTATACGAGAGTTAGCCAGTTTACTGCTTTGTACTGGAATCCAATTCCAGTAGTGGAGTTTTGTGCTCATTGCTTCAGCTTTCTGTCCCGGTGAAGACTAGTCGTCTGCCGGGTAGTTAGATTGAGAGGGCTTGGTCAGCTTAAGAGATTCCAAGCTACTGTCGGATCTTCCGCAGTCTAATCAACAATAAATCAACGTAGGGTAATTACAATTGAACCTAACTAAGGAGCTAGGGGGACTCATTTCCCGAGTGACTCTTCCCTGCTTGAGAAAACCGAACAATTTTCTGCTTTTTACTGCTTTTACTTTAAACAACAATCACTCGACTTAGTTGGCTAGATTATAGATAATCACGGAGTAGGCAGTAGATCTAGACCTCGGGTTGATAATAGAACTTGCCTGTTACTGCATTCCCGGATTGCGATTACACTTGGTCGCAGTTTGGTGTTGTGTTTTGGCGTGTCACTCAACCGTGCTGAATAAACTCCATCAATATTAGGATTTACTTATTCATTCTCTCATTCACACGATTTTCCCATGATCTTCCTTTCTCGCCTTGTTTTTTTTTCTTTTGCTTTATTTATCAGTGGCGAAGTTCGGAAAATAGCTAGAGAGTGGAGAGGTCTTAGAGTGAGAAGGACAAACATTAGAATGAATTTGAAAGAGAGGGAACCTATCGGGTGGAGGGGAGATTATCAATGAGTCGAGGTGGTTTGGAGGAGATGAGTCAAATATGATGAGACGATGAGGGCTAGGGACGAGGAAGTGATTTGGACATCAATTGGCAAAGGAAAGGGAAAGAAAAAAGGATTATGTCATTGTGGTTTGTGGGCTTGAGACTTGTAGTTGTCTCTTGTTTTGTCGAAAAGTTAGTAGGGTACTGGATGGGATGGGATGGTTTGGGTTGGGTTAGGAGTTACAAATAGGGTTGGTACTAGGCATTGGTTCTTTTTTGACATATGTTCGTTCAATTTTTTTTATTCATTCTAAATCGAACAGTGATATGTTTGAGGGTCGATATGATTTTACGGATGGGTTGCTCACATCTTACTTTGTACCTTTTCTATCTTTTTTCTAAAATAATATTTTACACCTCAACTTAAACTCCCCTTAAATTTACATCTCATTGCCTAATCTTTAGACTCTTTGAATTTACTCCCTCCATTCATCAAACGAAGAGTCAAAAAAATCTAAACCAAAATAAGTAATTTAAATATTTCGGTGAACGACTTAAAGCTAGTTATACTTATTATGATCAGGTAGCTCAGCATTCTGCAAAGAAAAAAATTATTCATAAGTAAATCCATGAAGTGTTAAATCAATAATTTTGACTGCAGAAATGTCATCCTTAAAATATATAATAATATTAATAAAAGCTCCATCCCTTCCCCCTTAGCACTCTTGTGTCTCCATCCACCAACGTCCTTCCCTTTTTCTTGTCCATACCTCTAGTGCCTGCGGCGCTTCCTTGCCACTACTTTGTCTCTCTTGCATGCAACGTCGAACCAACAAAAGCACCAAAAATCCAAATCCCAAAAAAGAAAAAGAGCTAAGTGATCTCCAAATGGGAAAAAGGGTGAAAATGAGAAAAAGGCGGAGAAGACTTTGTATCTAGCGCCACTCATAATTTTGGACAGAGAGTCAGCCAACTAGCCCCCTTCCCTCCTGATGATAAATTAGAGCCGACAATTACAATGACCATTTGAAAGACCTTTCCTTGTTTTTCTTTTTCATTCTCTTTACACACATCATTTTCTTTTTAATATTCAATCAATCCAATAGATTAATTTTTCAAAATTTGACTATCAAAACCTTAATCCCAAATCACCAAGATCAAGAATCCAATCCCTTCCCCCTTTCTTCCCCCATCAAATTTCTTATTTGGTGTGTGGAAGAGAGAGAGAAAGATTGATCAACAACAAAAAGCTCCTGACGACGGTTATTAGCTAGCCACTGTGAAAAGAAAGAGAATCAACATGTCTTGCACATCGTCTTCCGCATCTGATGAGGACGAGGAGGGAATCGATTCATATAGGAAAGGTGGTTATCACGCTGTCCGAATTGGTGATCCCTTCAATGCCGGTCGTTACATCGCCCAACGAAAGCTCGGATGGGGCCAATTTTCCACCGTCTGGCTTGCTTACGACACTCAATCTTCCGTATGTTGATCGCTCTCTCTATCTCTTGATTCATTTGTTTGTTGGTGTCCGATTTTTATATTTTTACTATCATCTATTTTGTTCTTTTTTACTTCTTTTATTGTGCCCCACCGCTTTAACATCAAAGTGAGTAATGTATTGTTATTGTATTAGATTTTGGAATTTTCCTAAATTGTATTTGTTTAATTACCATTGAAGTGTGTCTCTATGCTTTCTTTCCACATTTTGGTGTGATTCTCTTTCGTAGACCCCCCCGGACCGTTATGTTGCCTCAATTTAAGTTTGCATCCCATATGTGGATCAACCAACTATTTGTTAGACAACCAAATTGATCTTCTGGGTCATAATCAAGTGTGTGATACTGATTTTGGTTTCTTGTTTGGTTTGCCTCAGAACTATGTTGCTCTAAAGATCCAAAAAAGTGCTACACAATTTTCACAAGCGGCCCTACACGAGATTGAAGTTCTTTCAGCTATAGCCGACGGTGATCCCTCCAATACAAAGTGTGTTGTTAGGTTGATTGATCACTTCAAGCATTTAGGGCCAAATGGGCAACATCAGTGCATGGTTCTTGAGTTTCTTGGTGATAGCTTACTCAGGCTGATCAGACATAACCATTACAAAGGTCTTCACTTGAATAAAGTTAGAGAAATTTGCAAATGTATTCTAATAGGTTTGGATTACTTGCATAGAGAACTTGGATTACTCCACACAGACCTTAAACCTGAAAATATTCTCCTTTTCTCCACCATTGATCCGGCTAAAGATCCAGTTAACTCAGGGGCCTCCCCAATTCTTAGCAGACCTGAGAGTAACCTTAATGGTGGATCTACGATGAATATAATTGAGAAAAAGTTGAAAAGAAGGGCCAAAAAGGCAGTTGCCAAGATATCAGGGAGAAGAACTACAATGGGAGGTACCACAGAAAAGCCAGAGAGAAACTTGGATGGGGTTAATGTGAGGTGCAAGGTTGTAGATTTTGGAAATGCATGTTGGGCTGCCAAGCCATTTGCAGAAGAAATCCAAACACGACAGTATAGAGCTCCTGAAGTCATTCTACGATCTGGCTATTCGTTCTCTGTTGATATGTGGTCATTTGCTTGCACTGCTTTTGAGCTTGCTACTGGTGACATGCTATTTGCTCCAAAGGGCAGTCAGACATTTTGTGAGGATGAGGTAGGATGGTCTCGTTGATAATTGAATATTGCAGCTTAATTAGAGTTTATTATCATTTCTTCCAAATAACTTTGATAAATTTTAATACTATGATCTTTGTTATGCTTTAATCCATATGAATATTAACATGTGTATTTGTTATGTTAATGGTGATATAAAATTGGTATAATGTATGTGAAGTATGTATGGCATAGTTGGTAGTCATTTTAAATATTATTCAACATGCTATCGGTCTTCTCTCAATCTCTCCCAAACAAGGAATTTTTTTTTGAATATTACACTAAGCTCGTTAAAAATGTGGGTGTTTATTTTCTGAAATTATGATCATTTGAAGATGTAATCACAAAAGTGGCACCATATATTTAAAAACCATATGTAACGTATATATTTAAAATTGTAGAGCATTATGGTTAGATTTGTGATGAGACCTGTCTGAATAAATTTGGTGGTTCTGTCTAATCAGAAAGTTTGCATTTGTATTATGCATGTTTATGTTGAAGTTCTCTTTTCTTGATCCTTCCCCAAACGGATGTAGGACTCTGATGACTGTATTCCATTTACAGGATCACCTTGCTCTGATGATGGAACTTCTTGGAAAGATGCCTCGAAAGGTGTCACACACATATTCATTAATTGATTTCTAATAACTATTGCCAATCGCTCATGACTAAGTTTAATTCTTGTAATTTCTAATAATCATGGGCAGATCGCAACAGGAGGTGCAAGATCTAAGGATCTATTTGACAGGCATGGTGACCTAAAGAGGATCAGGAGGCTGAAGTACTGGCCCATGAATCGATTATTGGTTGATAGGTATAAATTCTCTGAGGATGATGCTCGGGAATTTTCAGATTTTTTGTGTCCTCTTTTTGATTTTGCACCAGAAAAGCGGCCAACCGCTCAACAATGCCTCCAACATCCATGGATCAACTGCACAGTCTCTATCAATGTCGACATGAAAAATCAAGGTGTTGCTACTGTGGAGAAGTTGGAAGTGGGGGTGAACAACCTCCATCTAAAGGCGAGGAAGTAGAGAAGGGCCGATGGAAAAGATGCTTGGTTGCATGCATCATTTTCAGGCACCTCCCTCCATATATATGAATATTGATTTCTTTCCTTTTTGGATTTTTTTTTATATTGGCTTACCGTAACCATTGTTTTCTTATTTAAAGTTTTTTTTTTGTATTTGTTAATGAATGACGAACTAAAATGTGGAGTGGTGAAGGGTACTATTGCGAAAAGATATTACTTGAAGCTAGAGGAGGGTGGCTATTGTACTAACCAGAGAATAGACTACATATTATTGTGTTGATTACATGCTAATGACATTTTTCCATTGAGAAAATATAATCACTTGTTTCTATAATGGAGCCAGGTGTTGTCTTATAGAAAACCCACAAGAGCTAGAATTGCAATTTGCTAGTAGAATTACAATGGGGTGATATTACTTATTAGTTGCGAGTTTGATGTAGTATAAAAATTTATGAGTTTGTAGATTTAGAGCATAGGGTTTGTTACTTTATTTGTTTTTGGTTTTGCCACAAGCATTTTTCTCCACGTCGTTACTTTGACTAGTCTTCTTTTTCTAATTTCTTTATTTTGCACATTTTCATTTTCTAATTTATATACTTGTCAATTCATTACAAAATTTGCAAGTAAAATTACAATGATATGATATTCAATTTGATGAAGATATTAGTTGTCACTAGTTTGTAGGTTTTGAGCTAATGGGGTTTTTGCCTTTAGTTTGGACACAATATGATATCCACTGACAGACACTCCATAGTTGAAGCTACAACTTGCGTGAAATGAGAACGAAGAAGAGAGTGATGATCGTCCTTGTTGCAGTCATTGTAACAAAAAATGGCCACATAAAGGATAAGTATTTTAAACTTATTGGTTATCCACCTCAATATGGCAAGAGTCATTAAAATGATTGTTATCATGATTGGAAGAAGTGGACGGGTGAGAACTTGTCCTGGACAGCCGATGTTGACGTCAAAGAGAGTTTCATTCCTCAATTATTGGTAGCTTAATTTGCACATTTGAAAAAATTTCTCTCCACCCCTATATCTCTTACATCTCCTCTACCTTAACATACTACTCACATGAATGGTAATTCATTTGACCTTTATCAATGGTTTATCGATTCTAGTTGTAAGTATCACATATGAAGTGATGCAAGTTGGTTAGATTAAGTACACCATTCAGTTAACCATCCACCTGTTCAAATACCCAATGCAATTTCCTTTCGGTTAAGGTTGTTAGTTATGTAGTTCGAATTCATGCTTTAGTCTTAATTGTCTTGACTGATTTCCCCGTGATCCATGACATACACTCTAGGATCGTGATTGGACTGGGATGCCTACTTGATGGGTTATACTATTTGCAACGCATAATTTTTGGGCCCAGGTTTCCACCTTCGATTCTTGCTCTTGCTGCTAGGCCTCAATTTCCCTTGGCACTCCCTAGTGGTCCATTGGCCTACTTTGACATGAAAATGCACAAAACACTACCAAAAGCGTAACTTGATAACAAAAGCATTCCCAAACACACTTTAAACACTCACATAGCAAATCCAAGGTATTAGGACGCCAAAGATGGGAAATCAATGCACTTTAAATCATAATACGTGGATCTAAAATAGTGTGTTTCACGTGTCATTAGACATACTCATCTAATTTCATATAACGTTGATACAAAAAAATTATACAAAATATTCAAGCTCATGATAGTAGAAGTTAGACAAACCATATATCCTAATCATGCTAGCATTGAAAGGCATAAATCATATAATTAGGCAAATGTACAATTGAAATAATTAGCACAAGAATAATGGCATTAGCATAAGCAAATGACATTTGATCCAATTAGTTCAACCAAGCATTATAATTTGTAGAAATTCTCCAATTCCCTACTCATTGAAAATTTCCAATATTAGTAATGCTTATACCATAAAAATTACGAAAAGTAGTATAGCTTGACATTAAAGCTCAAAGTAATTCGAAAAGATGCTATGCTGATTTCAAAATTTTTTGGCATGACATTTACTAAAATTCATCAATCCATCAAACATAAAAATGCTTACAACATCATAAGAAACCATACAATCTCATTATAATCTTAACAACTATCATCAATCATATGAACACATCCATTATACCCAAAAAGGTAAAAAAGTAGGAAGATAAAGACCTCATATTTAACATTCAATTCTAAACATTAAATCCTCAAATTGAAGCTCTAAATTCATAATTCAGGATTCTAAACTCATCTAGAGATCATGGGTATTGGATTGAAGAACTAAAAAATTTAACCAAAAATTGAAAAAAAAAAATCTAGAGAGTGGCGACAGTGGCGAGATGGGTATGACAACTGTCGATGGTGGTGAAGTTTTTCGGAAATTGTTTTAATGGGCTTTTTTATTTGGTGATGGATAGGTTGTATCTAAAATGTGGGGAGATAATTTTTTAGTTTTGGAAATGGATTAGGTGATTGAAAGTTGAAGCTTTTGGTAGAAATTTTGAAACAAAAAAAAAAAAAGAGGGGAGAGCTCAGCAAAGAAAAGAGAAGGGGAAGTGTGAAAGTTGGGTATTTATATGCTGAAGGAGAGAGGCAGGTATATGTTCGTCATGAGGCTGCCATGATGCTCAAACCTGGTTTGCGTTGATTTCTTGTATTTTTACGTCAGAACAGTTACCTTGTCCATACAAAAGTGGATTTTGTACATTGTTTCTCCATCAAGACACTTCCATCTCGTCATAATTTACAAAACTTTGCTCCAAATGTTTCACCTGTCCAGAGGGACAAAATAGAATCTTCCAGTGAGTAACTCAAAATGATAAGCTAAAATAAAACTAAGGAAAGAGAAATCCTTGCTTCCCATGGAGCGCTCTTTATTCTATGCCTTTGAGCTAGGCTTAGCCATGCTCCTTTTATTTTGACGACCATTCAAGATCATATGCCCATTAACTTGTGTTTCCTCTTGTTGGTTCAACATGATGTGGATTAAATCCATTTTGAAGATGAAAGCGCAAGAAGTCTTGATAATCCTAAAATATTTCCAACTACAATTCCTCGATTCTCTCTAGCATCATTGTGAGCCTTTTATTGGTTATCTTGAGTGTTATTTGAGCTAATTTCAAATAAAAAATTGGTTAAGATTCCTTCAACTCGTCTATATATCTTATTTCTTGATCTTGATGATGAATAGTTATATTCAAAGAATCCTCAAATTGAGATGTTGATTTGAGTTTGATCTCATTCTTCGGCTCTATCTCTTCAATCTCTTCAAAATCATCATCATTGAACACTTTGTTAATGGTCTTTATCCCTCAATGCATTATCTATTTACATGTAAAGTTATTTCTCTCTTGCAACATCAATTCAAAAACCATAGATTGCAAGAATGGTCTCCCAAAGAGGATCGAGTATGCTTCACTAATACTCATATCGATCACCACACAATCTGGAAAGAATATGACTGGACCAACTTGGGTACCTATGTCTCTAACAATTCCAAGATCTTGACAAGGGGTGTTGTTGGCAAGCATGATCCCAATGTTGACGTCCTCCATACCAGTCAATCCAATTCTCATAGATTTTCAGTGGTTGGATGTTGATACTTGCATCAAGATCAACCAGTCCCTTCTCCATGTGATGTTCATTCCAAAGACAGTTGATTAATAAATACCCCGTATCATTATGTGTTTCACGCACTAGGATGATCTCTTCATATCCCCTTGGGGTTTTCTTGATAGTAAACTCCTTTTCTTCAATCCTATCATCCTCTTTAAAGAGAATCTCAAGCTTATGCTTCGTATTCTCCATTGAAACTAGTTTTTTCTAATATTGGCACTACCACTTCTGATCCTCCTTGAGTGTCTATGAAATTATTAAATAGGGTTGGTTGGTGAGCTTCTCTTTTTAGGATTTTCTCCTTATTCTCCTATTCCGTGTGTGAACTTGAGAAACTCTTGGATGCTCCTATCCTGGTCGAATTAATTTGACTTATTCTTTCTTTGGATTATTCTTTGTATTTTTTGGATGATTTCCTTGAGGCTTTTGAGGTCTGGTGTTAATCAGGAGTGCAACTTCTCGTTCGATTTTCTGATAGCTTGCTTGCAGCCGATGGTGTTGCCTCAAGTTTTTCGAATATGTTATGTTGTTGATTAGAAGAACTTCCTCCTTGCTCCTTATATTGAGGTTGGTTTCGAAATCCAGGTGAGTTTGTATTCTTTGTTCCATTGTGCTTCATGAATATAAGGTGGATTAGTAGAGGTGATAACGAGGTAATTCTCAAGCTTCTTTCCTCCTAGGGCTGGCCATATGGTATGCGAGGTTGATTGGATCTCTGGTAAGGAGCATTGCTTGTTGTGGCATTGGTTAATATAAGGGATAATACCAATGGAAAACCCGAACTATCAAGAAAGTCTCAATTGTGTCCCGAACTATTCAATATGACATTTATGTCCTGAACTATTTTTTCGTAGTTTGACCGAGTTTGACTGTCAATATTTAACAAAAAATTCAGTCATTCTCGACGTGGCATCTTATATGGAGTTTTAAATATGAATATTTATTTATATTTTCATCTAAAATGATTAAAATAAGAAAAAGAAAAGATAAAAAGTTAAAAAAATCCCCAAACCTCCTTAATCGCTCCATCAATTTCGTTCCTAAGTCAACATCAAATTGACCACCGTGTTGTCAATCGTTATCTATAACGATTAACAAAATCGTCATGACTTAAATGACACGCAATTATCATACGTTGGGATATAAATGGAATATTAAATAGTTCTGGACAAAAATGAAACTTTCTTGATAGTTCGGATTTCTCAAAGGTATCAGTCCTTAATATAATTGACATCAACAAGTAGAGGTGGCAATCAGGATCCAAATCCATAAATCCAATCCAATCCATTTGATCCAAATCCAATTGGATTAGTGAATTCATGGATCAATCCATAGATTCAAATGGCAAATTACGATTTGGTACCAATATGTTTTTATATTTTATATTTTGGTACCTAAAATCTATATTTGTATACGAAAAATATTATTGGAAATTTACATTTTGG